ATATATATATATATATATATATATATATATCTATCACACACACACACACCCACTTGAGAATGTTTTTAAAAAGAATTTGCTGATTCCTAAAACAGCACAAACGTATTTATGAAATCAAGAATGCTTTCTCCGGATGACTGGACATCATATTTTAACATACAGGTACTCTGATGTCATTCCCTCTCTTCTTCTTCTTCTTCAGCATTCCGAGCAGGGCTGCCAATTGGATTTTTTTGAAAAACCTAGCTAAGCTGATCGAAAACCCAAGCAATACATAAGCAAACAACAAAAAAACAAAAACCCAGATTGTTAAAAAGCACACATTTTATATTTACAAAATGGAACATTTACCGACTTTTATATAAGGATGTTTTTTTTGTTGTTATGGTAAAAACCCAGATTTCAGAATTTGAACCCAATGAGTCAAATAAAAACCCAAATCTGGGGGTAAAAACCTATCATTGGCGATTCCCTTTTTTCACCCGCCTCCATTCATTTCTCTGATTGGCCTTCTCTTTCCAGTTGGTAACATTCCCCCTCAGGTGATCCTTTATATCTGCCACAACCCCTACACCCAAACTCAACTCACGCCCCAGGAAAAATGTGTAATGTTATGTAGTTTTTTTTTTTTTAGTATTTGTGATCATAATCATAATAAGTTGTTACAAATGACAACAACCATAAACTCCATTTAAACAGACAACACTTTATTAATAATAATGAAAACTAGAAAAATGGCTTATAATTTATTAAATCATTTCATAACATTTAATATTAACAGGTTGAGCATCAATCATAACTAGTAACATGCTTTAGCCATTAAGATTTAGGAATTAATGTTTTTTATCTTATAAGCAATTGTCAGCCAGTCTCTGATTTTGCCTACCCAGAACGCACAATGGGATTGCATCATCAGAGACTATTCTGAACTCTGTCCCTGCTATTGCATTAGAAACATAGTCGTCATAGTGGCTACAATTGCTTATCAGAATGTGCAAAAATTCCCACAATTATTTATATTAAACACTAAATATTGTTAAATGAATTTAACAAAAAAGGTAAGTTACTCCTGGGAATAGTGAAGAACATTTGATAACGTGTCATAATTGCTATTCATAGATGGTCTAGTATTGGTAACAGAGGAAGAAGAGAAGTCACAAACCGCCTCAATCAAATCAATACCAAGTGTGAGAAATGCATATTATCAAATGTTAACAAGCCCGGCTCACTAGCGTAGTTGGCTAAACCGGATTGCGCGGTGACCGGGTAACGAATACCTTGTCCTCCGGGTTCACGCCTGGGGGTAGGAAGAAAAGCCACATTTTCTCCCAGGTTTACGGTATTTATCTTGGAATCAAGGCTGAAGTGTTGTGATATCCATCATACCGTGCCTAAGGGTTAACAACTCCTGGCTTCTGGACACTAAAAAAAAGTAAACATGGAAAGATGGAGGAAATGGTGACAGATAAACAATTATAAACCCTGTTTTTAAAATTAATTAGGATGGTAATGGAAAAAAAAATCATGTTAATTAAATGTGAAGATTCAATTTTCATTTAAGCTAGAGGAAATTAACAAAAGATCAGTACTGGCTGAATCAATAACAATTTTAAAATACTCCTGGAGAAAAAAAAACAGCAGCTGATGTTATAACTGTCTTTGAGCAATATTGTGCTATTAGATCTTTACTAAACGGCAGAAAATCATAACTGAGATAAAAATTCTTAGAATAACCACAAGAAAAACAGATAGAGATAAACTTTAAGACCACACATTAACTCTTTGAGTCCCAGTGGGTTTAGCATCACAGGCCCAGGGGGTGGTAAAGAGAATCATAAAATCGGCGCATCATGCGTTCATTGGGCTGCTAGGTAGGAACGTATGATGCGTTCCTTGGGACTCAAAGAGTTTTTTAAAAAAACGAGGGGAGAGATTTCACTTAAACTACCCATAATAGAGTGAGAAATGACATTGTCAGACAGATTATGGGAACAATACTGTGTGCCAGATTCACAGAGAAACAGAAGATCAAATGGTTCAGGCAGTTTGTTAGAATGCAGCAATACAAGTTGTCATCACAGTGTGACGCCTATGCAAATTTGATATAAGAGCATGAAGGCAACTAAGAAGCAGATTAATTAAAGGTGTTTTTACATTCACGGAAAATAAACTAGAGACTGTAAAAACACTGACTCTTAAATAATGCAGCTCACAAAGTGGGAACAGTTATCAGTCAAGATAAAACAGAATACATGGTAATAACTAGACAGGGAAAGGATATCTTCTTCTTCTTCTTCTTCGCGTTCACCAGCTGTACACTCTGGCGGAAAGTTCTGGTTGTTCATCCACACCTGGACTGCAGTCCTGCTCCAGAACCTGAGTGTTGCGTGTGCATCAGTTTTACAGATCTGATTCACTTGAATGCAGACTGTTGGTTCCTTGCCTCTCAGGCAGATGCACTCCAACTTCAAAGGAAGCTACCAATTAGTCGACTCTTACGACATGCTTTTTGGTAGGCAGTGGGTCTATTCTTGTTTTCCCCCACAATGGGGCCCCGGATCCCACACGGGGAAGGAAAGGATATAAACTCTGGCCACATACAAGTCAATAATATGAAAATCAAATAAACAGAAACATATAAGTACTTGGGTGCAAACTTCAACTGCTCCAACATGCTGAGAGAAGAAATACAATCTGGAAATAAAGTATACTATGCCCTTCAACATATGCTAAAGTCAAAGTCTCTATCTCTCAACATCAAGATCAAAATATATAAAATGTTGATAAGACCAGTCGTTTTATATGGCTCTGAATTTTGCAGCACAAATAAAAGAGACGAAGGCTTATTACAGGTTTTTTAAACAGTTTTATAACAAATCTTTGGATCCATCAAAGATGTAAACAGCAGGGAATGGAGAGTGAGAAGAAACAATGAAATTCATAATCTGTTCAAATCACCACTGATCACTGGCATCATGAGAGATAACAAACAGAAATGGCTGGGGCATATTAAGAGAATGTCAGATGACAGAGAGGTAAAAACTATGCACAAGGGAAATCAATGGTCGTAGACAATGAGCCAGACCAAGAAAACGATGAAGAGATCATATCCAGACAGATCAGCAAACACTTGGTGTTACCAACAAGAAAGCGAAGGCCAACCAGAGAGATGAGTGGAGGCGGTTGATGTCTGCAGCAATGAACCTCAAAGGCTCGGAATGCGGAAGAAGAAGAAAAAGAAGTTGTACATTCACAACTGGTGCCACCCATTAAATGATAGATCACAAACGTCTTCTCCTCCATTTGTATCATTTAAAATAAAACAGATGATAGTTTTCACTGCTGTGAAATCAGCTCAGTTTTGTAAAAATAACACAATTAATGCACCAAAAGATTATAATTTACATTCTGGAACCCAGCATGAGAATGCCAGTACTGGAGAGTATCATGGTAATAGGAAAACAGGAGAAGAACAGAGGCATGACAAGAATAATAGAGAAGATATTAAACCATCAGACATTATGATATAGAGAAACATTTGCTTAAAAACCACTGACAGTACAGTTGATAGACGGATGTGGCTAGACATGGACGCCAACAAGAAGGATAATAACCAGGGCTTTATCGAATATCTGCTTCGTATTCGCTTCAGGGCCGAATAGTGGACCTAATAACTATTTGGTATTCTGCCAAATACTTGCGGTTGGGCCGAATACGAATAGTGGTTACCTCACACCCGTTTCTGCATACACTGCGATGGACTGAAATAACTCTCTAATTAACACAATAGGTGCAGTTGCCTAAGTCTGTCATAGCTGGGACAAACTGTGACCCGGTTACGTGGTACAGCAGCTGGCAAGGTCTTTGCCTGCTGACTCGACCGAGGCATTACAGCCGAGGTTTTCCAATTGGGTGCGTATGCCAGAGGTGCCGCAGCGAAAATCAAGAAAAGTCGGCTATAAATTGCGACATTATTAAAGGAGGCATAAAGATACTTAAAAGTTAAAATTTAAATTGTATTTCCTCGCCACTGTCGTAAAGAGTTTTTTCCTTGTTTCACACTCAAAGTGTATCGTACTGCATAAAATGTCAACCACAGCGTGCTAAAAATAAACAATTTCTTGAGGCCTCAGAGATGTGGTTTTACAGAACAATGCTTAAAATACCTCGGACAGCCAAAAAGAGCAACCAAGAGGTTTTGAAAGAGGCGGGAGCCCGAAGACAATTTATCACAGACATCAGAAGGAGACAGTCATCATTTTTCGGTCATGTTATGAGAAGAGGGAAAATAGAACATGTTGTGACCACTGGAAAGATATGTGGAAGGAGAGATAGTGGAAGACAACGAGAGAAGATTCTTGACAATCTTGTAGCATGGCATGGAGGTGTGTCGGCACACGAACTGATACATGCTGCAGGAGATCGAGGATTATGGAGAGGCATAATCGCCTACCCCAGTCGGCAAAGCACCTGACAATGATGATACACTATTCGTATTCGGCCGAATAGTTAATCCCGTTATTTGTATTCAGCCGAATAGTTGAAATCACTATTCGTACAGCCGTAATATAACTAAGGAAAAGTACAGAAGTCGTACAGTAGCCGTGAATTAAAGGAAAAAATAAGCTTGGGGAAAAAAAAGAATGAAATATATGAAAACAATCTTTTTACTATTTAAAAAAAAAAAAAAAAAAAAAATAATTTTATATTACAGAAAAGAAAGATGGCACTGAACCAATTCTAAATAACATACAAAGACAGAAAATCAAATGGTATGCCGACTTAGAAATAGCTATACCATACAAGGCATACACTTGAAGAAGTGGATAAGAGCCCGAGTTAGACCAAGAACAAGATGGACAAACCAATCAGAAAAACTCTACAATAGCATTATGTGTCTATGGTCACATGGGCAAGATGCAAAACCTTATATCTCCATCTACACCGAAGTGGCAAAAGAAAAACTTGAAAGTGAAGAAGAAGAAGAAGAAGACACTATATTATTGTTTATCTCTCTTAATCAAAACATTATCTAAACTGCTAAGAAGCAGCTTTATCTCCTGTGTTTGGGCATTGAGGTTATTCAATGGAGCCATGAGCAACTTCATTAGATCCTTCAGGTCAAATGGCTCAACCTTTGGCCGGAAACGATACAGGGGTACTCCACTTGGGGAAATGATGAATTTCTCGAAGTTCCATGTAATGTCATTGACTTGAATGGGCTCCCAGAAACTCTCTCGGGGATTGAACTGGGCAGTGCTTGGCTGTGGGCAGAATGCCTGCAAAATTGAAAGTACATTTCATAATTATTTTAGTTTCTTATAAAGAACTTTGTACTTAATCTTAGCTGATTGTCATATTTTGTTTAATGTTAAAACAGTGATGTTCTTGATGGTACCAATAAGTACTCTTCTTCTTCCTCTTCCCCCTCCACTTTCATCTTCTTCCTCCTCCTACTATCTGTCGTTCTATTATTCACTATTGCATGCAGCTAACCCCTTGTCCTCCCCATTTTTTAAACTTCACTCCCTAGCTCCCTTGCCCAAATTTTGCTGTTGTCTTCCTGTATTTCTATGTCCCCATGGGTTCCAATACAAAGACATTCTAGTTATATTGGTTTCAGGTTTTCTCAGTGTCTGCTCAATCCTTTAAATTTTGTTTTCCTACTGACAGCTTTTTCAGTTTGACTGATATCAATGGCTGAGTCTGCAGGATCTGATCCACTGCTTTGCTCATGTGCTTATAATGCTGATAAGATGGCCATGCATGGACTTTGGTTTGCACGATCACTGCAAAGTTATAACATAACCTTCACTGGCAGATCTTCTGTTTCACTGGAAAGGTCACGTGTATTGAGCAAACTTTGGATCTTTTCTCCTGGCTATGCCAGCATGGTGGGTAATGAATAGACAGACAGATTGGCTGAGTGGTGAACTGATACATGACAAGGCAGATGTGGTCAAGGCCCTTTGGGAACAAGCAACGGAATCAGTAGAGAAAGAAGATTATTATGGCCTGAAAAGAATGAGGCACCTGGGTGTAACCAGTGGGTCTGGCCGGCTCACTACACTTAGAGGAAAGGCAAGACCGACATATAACCAGATTGTGACCGGTACCATCAGTATTGGAACTCTGCGCTGGCTGCTGGAGATGAGGACGGAGCATGCATGGGAATGCCCTGAATGCTGTGATGTCAATTCTTTTGTTCTTCTTTGTTCACCCGTAAAAGGATGCATGGCATGTCCTGTTGTGGTTTACAGCTAGGCTGTGCCCATCCCATTTCAGCTACCCCTAATTAGTAGCCTTTCGTAACATGCCTGTTAGGGTCATCATCATCATCATCATCATCATCATCATCATTTAGCAGGTCCTTCGCAAAATGTCATCAAGGTCTGCCTGAAAGAAACTTGGTCTTTTGTCTCATGTAATTTCATATTCAAGGAGTCACTTATATCCTGTGCCCATCTTTGCGTTAGTCGGCCGCTGCCCCTTCCTCCTGGTATCATGCTTTCTGCTATTTTCTCCAATCCGCCATGGTGCTTGATGTGGCCAACAGATGCAGTTTATTAGCCAATCTTCCCTGATATTCAGATCTTTTAAAATTTCAGTATTTCTTCTCTTCTTTGCCTGTTGGGGTGCAATGAGTCAATTCCTCCCCGCCCCCGTAACCTACGTGGGGGGGGGGGCCTGCGTGGTCTCAGGGCATGGTGTCCGCCTCGAGTACTAGAGGTTTTAGGTTCAATCCCCGGTAAGGGCTGGGACTTTTTCACGTGGACTTGGACTTCTAGTAATTACCGCTGGTCTCTGGGTAGTTAGATTGGATGCCCATGTGCATTGTTGAGCACGTAAAAAATAGTCTTGGCAGATGGAAATCTAAAAGAATAGTCTAACGGCGATGACCGGAAGTTAAAAAATCTACCCAAAGTACAGTATTCTAGGATCCTCGCCGGTGCTACAGAACTTGTGCACTATGCTGAGCTTCTTCGGACTCAGACTTGAGTTATTAGATGAACGGAGCACTTATAGGTTACCATCCGTGTGCCATGATGTTGATCCGTTGTTCAAACCTCAAACCCATATGGGGATGCAACATAAGATGACATAGGACACGACTCTTACCTTCAGATACCCGTACAGCCCATGCTGCAGATCTCCATTAACGGCTGTCTTCTGCAGCATGTGCATGTTGGGGTGAGGCTGGAATCCATGACCAGGCCGTACATACTTGAGCCCGTTCAAGATCTCGGTCCCGTTCTTGCCTGGCTCCTGATGGCCGAACTGGTTACAGGGGAAAGCCAGGATGGTGAAGCGGGAAGATGGGAATTCATTGAGTAGTGCGTTCATTTGTTGGTAGTGCGGGGTTAGACCTGAAGTAAACGTAAAGCAACGGTAGAAGAATATGTGGGTGTGGGTGTGAATGTGTGTGTATGTGTGTGTGTGTGTGTGTATAAAACAGATTTTTATTATGTCGTTTTCATAACCGAGGGAGTGTGATGGCGTAGTGACTAGAAACTCCACACTCAGTTCGAAGTTCATAATCGAATATTTTTTTTTTATTGCACCAAAAAGCAAAAACAAAAAAAACGGGCTCACAGGTCGAGTCAGCCTAAAATGGGTACCAGAAGCATTTCTGGGAAGTAAAGGTGTCCGGCGTGACGCTGCCCACATCAGCCATCCATCAAGGGCTAACTGGTCTATAAAACTGTGAGACTAGCCTCATATTGCTGGATACGCAGCTATCGTGGATAGGCTCTTTACCCCCTTCTTTTCTTAACTACACGATGAAGGCTGGCTGCAGTGGATATATGGATCCAAAAAGTGCTGAGAACATGTATGACTGCAGTCGCTAATACTAAGAAATTAAACCAGTAAACTGCGACTAAAAAGCTGTTGTGTAGTTCATTTTGAGAAAGACCTTGATCAAAACGTTTCTCTGTGTTTTTTATGCATGTTTTTCTGCTTTCCCATTTCGTTAAGATTTTTTTTTCAGAGTTCACTGGTTTGATATGTGGCTATACTATCGTTTCTGAGAATATGACGTGATGAAGCCTTAGTCTGTTCCATGGCGTGGCTCAGTACCACTGCACGAAACTTTGAGGACAGTTTTCTTCGAAACGGTCCACCGTAAACAAATCTAACCATGGTACTTCAAGGGTTGTGAATCGCGATCATTAATCCCTATAGAACCTATGGAACCAACGATGCCAGCATCAAGAGCATACAACATGAAAATCGAAACAACAAGAGGCAGGGGAAGACCAAGAAGAATATGGATTGAAGGAGTCACGGACAACTTGAGACTTCATAACATCACGGCATATGAAGCGACTGAGCGCGCCCTGGCTCGGTTGCCGATCATCTGATAGACTGCGACGCCTAGCGGCACAAGCAGATTTTGACAAAAGAAAAGAAGAATCCCTATAGACCCTTAGACAGAAGAACGGTATCTGACGTAATTCTAAATATTCCAAACAAAAATTAGGCAATGTGATTATTTAAAAAGTACACTTACAAATTAGTAAACGTAAGGGTAGGAACTAAAATTAAAATCGTAAATTTTGACCATTTTGGGTTTTTGTACATATTTTACAATTATACATAGTAGGGAAAAAAGTGGGTTTTATCCTAATATCTCCTCCCATACAGACAGTCGACAATTTTAGGGTGTGGTAGACAGGCTGTATGCAGTCGTGAGACCTAGGCTGCACTCTCTCGTGGGACGTAGGGGAGTTGGGGTTAGGCCCAGTTCTAGATGTTTTGGGGTAGTCAGAAGTTTGAGGTTTAAACAAAGGGTCAACATCATGACAACATCTTCTAACTCAAGTCTGAGTCCGAAGAAGCCCAGCACAGTGCACAGGTTCTGTAGCACCGGCGAGGATCCTAAAACGCTTTAGATGATTTTTGATTCAAAATGTTGCCCGCGCAACACCGTTAGACTACTTTTTTTTTTTTTTAAATTTCAAACTGCCAATGAATTTTTTACGCGCAACAATCCGCACGGGCGTCCGATCTAGCTACCCAGAGACCAGAGGGAATTACTAGAAGTCCAAGTCCAACTGAAAAAAAATCCCAACCCTTAACGGGGATTAAACCCAGAACCTCTAGCACTCGAGGCGGACACTATGCCTCGAGACCACGTAGCCCCCGTAGAAAAACAAGAATAAGTCTGCAGTACACAAGATGCAAAAATTAACGTGACTTGTGGGAATCAGAATGGCTTTTGTGGCTTCCGGCTGCACGACATTAATTGATGGGAATGTCGGACGATCAATAAAAGATATTCCTTTCACCAACTGTAATCCCCCGTGTGGGTTCCGGAGCCCTACTATGGGAAAAACAAAAATAGACCCACTGCCTACACAAAAGCATGTCGACTAATTGGGTGCTTTCTTCGAAGTCGGAGTGCATCTACCTGAGAGGCAAGGAACCAACAGTCTGCATACAGATCTGTCAAACGGATGTACACGCAACACTCAGGTTCTGGAACAGGACTGCAGTCCAGAAGTGGACGAACAACCAGAACTTTTCGCCGGAGTTTACAGCCGGTGAACGCGAAGAAGAAGAAGAAGACTAACTATAATATTCCAGAGTCGGTGTCTGAGATGTAGGTGTTGCAAACGCGGTTAGTAATTCCAAGATACCTGGGTCGACCAATTTCTTCTTATTCATCTCATCTCATCGTCATGTGACGTGCCGGTGTGCGTAGGCTGTAGTGTTTCGCCACCTCACACGATCGCCAGAATCACGGATCAGTTCAATGTTTTTGTCTCGCCTCATCTATCAGCCTATGCCATCCATGTATTTATCTTTGCCTTTCTTTTGCTCTCTTTCCTATAATCTTGCTGTCTGTCAGTTATTACCAAGTTCTCGTGTCTAGTCATTCCTAAAACATGTCCAAAAATATTGACTCTACGTTTAACTATTCTAATAAGTAAACGACTCTCATATGCCTCAATACAGAGTGCTTCCTTCATTTAATCTTAAATGTTGTAATTTTATTGTCTCCTTTTCTTGAGTATAGGCGTTTGAACAATTTAACCACTGTTTCATCCTCATCCATTCATTTATGTAAAACTAAACAAAAAATCGACCATGTTCAACCTACTGCGAGCAGCATTGGTTATAATTGTAGTCTGGTTTCATTGTGCCAATTATGTTGGCTAAGAAATGTTAATTGCATCAAAACTAGAGGCTTGGAGCGATTCTCTAGTACCTAGTGAGGCCTGTTGGGGAGGGGCTGCTCGCGTGGATATGTACACACATGCGCGCACGCCCACGCGGGAATTCACGCACACGTGTTGGCTTACACACATACATATGCATGTACACACACACTCAAGGCAGACGCCGCCTGTGGATCAGAAGGCCTTGGGTTCAGACGTAGCCGGTCTCTAGTCTGGGTTTTTCAGCATGTATATGTGACACCTTCTCAATGTCCCTATTTTAACGGGATAGTTAAGCAGTCATAGTCATTTTTGGTTGGTTCACATAATTTAATTCCTTCGTAAAGTAAGGTAAGGTAAGTTGTACCCCACCAGGATATCACACAAGGGTGATTTTAAGGGTCAGCGGCTGATAAGAGGGAGGTCATGGATGGCTCAGACAGAAGACACAATCAGACAAGTTTGCATCCTTGAGAACATTAGGCGAGGAGAGGAGTGGGTCAAAGTGCCACCTGAGCAGTCAGACTTGTGTAGAGTCATAATCACGCTGAGCCGGGAATGCAGAGACTGGCCAGCAGGTGCCACAGAGGTGGAAATTCAGCAATTAATTCAAGATAATGCTCACTCAGAAGATTTGATCATTTACACAGACGGTTCAGTGTCAAGAGGCAAAAGAAGTGCTTGTGGCTTCTTAGCAAAAGTTAATGGTCGACGTTTAGTGCAGGAGAGCCTAGCATATGATACTACAACATCAAGCATAAGAATGGAGGTGGAGGCGGTCACTGCAGCTTTCCGCTGGCTAGAGAACACGTAGTGACTAGAAACTCCACACTCAGTTCGAAGTTCATGGTCGAATATTTTGTTTTAATTGCACCAAAAACAAAAACAAAAAACGGGCTCACAGGTCGAGTCAGCCTAAAATGGGTACCAGAAGCATTTCTGGGAAGTAAAGGTGTCCGGCGTGACGCTGACCATATCACCCATACATCGAGGGATAATTGATCTATAAAACTGTGAGACTAGCCTCATATTGCTGGATACGCAGCTATCGTGGATAGGCTCTTTACCCCCTTCTTTTCTTAACTACATAATGAAGGTTGGCTGCAGTGGGTATATGGATCCAAAAAGTGCTGAGAACATCTATGACTGCAGTCGCTAATACTAAGAAATTAAACCAGTAAACTGCGACTAAAAAGCTGTTGTGTAGTTCATTTTGAGAAAGACCTTGATCAAAACGTTTCTCTGTGTTTTTTATGCATGTTTTTCTGCTTTCCCATTTCGTTAAGATTTTTTTTTCAGAGTTCACTGGTTTGATATGTGGCTATACTATCGTTTCTGAGAATATGACGTGATGAAGCCTTAGTCTGTTCCATGGCGTGGCTCAGTACCACTGCACGAAACTTTGAGGACAGTTTTCTTCGAAACCGTCCACCGTAAACAAATCTAACCATGGTACTTCAAGGGTTGCGAATCGCGATCATTAATCCCTATAGAACCTATGGAACCAACGATGCCAGCATCAAGAGCATACAACATGAAAATCGAAACAACAAGAGGCAGGGGAAGACCAAGAAGAAGATGGATTGAAGGAGTCACGGACAACTTGAGACTTCATAACATCACGGCATATGAAGCGACTGAGCGCGCCCTCGCTCGGTTGCCGATCATCTGATAGACTGCGACGCCTAGCGGCACAAGCAGATTTTGACAAAAGAAAAGAAGAATCCCTATAGACCCTTAGACAGAAGAACGGTATCTGACGTAATTCTAAATATTCCAAACAAAAATTAGGCAATGTGATTATTTAAAAAGTACACTTACAAATTAGTACGTAAGGGTAGGAACTAAAATTAAAATCGTAAATTTTGACCATTTTGGGTTTTTGTACATATTTTACAATTATACATAGTAGGGAAAAAAGTGGGTTTTATCCTAATATCTCCTCCCATACAGACAGTCGACAATTTTAGGGTGTGGTAGACAGGCTGTATGCAGTCGTGAGACCTAGGCTGCACTCTCTTGTGGGACGTAGGGGAGTTGGGGTTAGGCCCAGTTCTAGATGTTTTGGGGTAGTCAGAAGTTTGAGGTTTAAACAAAGGGTCAACATCATGGCAACATCTTCTAACTCAAGTCTGAGTCCGAAGAAGCCCAGCACAGTGCACAGGTTCTGTAGCACCGGCG